GAGCATCTATGCAAAGTGTAACATTACACATACATAGAGAAATGTTAATAACCAGTGTTGTATAAGACTTCAGTGCAAACTCATGATAAGACCACCGGGCGTAAAAGACTAAGGAACTGAGGAGACAGAATCCCACTTGGAAATTCTTGAGTAAAGAGATAGCACAAACTTTTGATAGTGCTGTTGAACTAATAGAAGCCCATAAAACACCTTTATAGGAACTAAAGATTAAAACCAGATATCAAGATGTATAAAGAAGCATATGACCAACCAGGCTGCTGGATTTGTCAGAGGAAAAGGATACTAAAGTATACTATACTGGGTCATCTGGATTGGTAGTCTGGAATGAGACCAATGGTTCTGAGTTGTGGCTAGTAGGAGATGATAAAAAAGATGTTGAAAAGATAGATACTAGGGTTTGGATAAACTTTATAAGGGTAAAAATAGTGTAACATAGCAGTTTAAGATTAGCCCTGACTGCAAGTGTTAGGTAACTATAGTGTATTACATAAAACTAGATTAGCTGTATGTAAACATAGAAGGCTCTAGTAATGATACTTCTGAGAATATATTGCATGAAATAAGGTATGGGGTCCTAAGGATATGGATAAGCATCTAGCTTTTCTTAACTGACTTATATAGTAGAAATGATCTAGTGATACAGTAAGGGTTGCAGTACAGAGGGTTTAAATAGGCAACATTTCTAGTTAGGTTGCAGGTATGGCAGCTAGTGTAGAACCATCAGTGGACTACTTAATTAGACACCAAAAGTATACATGTAACTAGTTGTACTCTCTAATATAAAGTGACTTCTTTAAGGCCTTGGCCATGAGTTTCTATATTCTGACTATACTGAATAAAAAGCCCCAGCTCCAAAAGAAGCTAGTTTAACAAAAAAAAAAATTAAAAAAATAAAGTTGAGCTCTCATCATTTTTAATTAATGCTTTAAGGTTAGTTTAAATGTTGGTTTTTGTTGTTTTGCATTTTTTTTCACTTTTTCTTTGCATATTGATGAATTGATAATTCTGATCAAATTGCAGATTATTTGGCCAAATCTAGAACAAAACAACTTGAAATGTGATCAAATGATCTGCATATTGGGTTGTGTTATAGAAATTACAATTTTACATTTCATATTATTTTACATAAATTTAGTAACTTGAATTTCATATAAATTTTATTCATAATATCATATGCTAGCACTATGAAAACTTTAGCTAAAATTATTAAATATGCAAATATGTTTTATTATAAATTTTATTGTATTTATAACAATGCAAGTTTATACAATCAAATGAATTATATTCATTATAATAACTATTAAATTCATACTCATTACTATTAAACATATAAAACAGCTTATTTGAAAAGTTGATAAAGTTATCTTCAAGTATTTCATTTTTACTATCATTTTGATTTTTGCTTTTTCTTGATTAATATTTGTATTAGATGTTTCTTCAATTTCTATATTCCCTTGTTGCAAATCCTTTATTAAAATAAATCTTTTTAATTGACAAAGAATTCTTGTTTTCCAATATATATAAACAAGTTTTGTTAACCTTTCGAGTAAGCATTCAGTTATGCAATTTTGAATGTATAAACCCATAAGATGACCAATTTCTCTCACTAGTTGCTAAAGTAGCTGGAATTGACAAAATTTTTTATGCAACTTGACTTAAAATTAAATACTATATATTTAATAAATTTTACCAATTAAGTGGTTTTAAGGTAAGATTATTTCACAAATATTTTTTTGCAAAATCTTCTAATTTTCTGATATATTTAAACAATTTATTTAATATTTGATCTTTATTATTAGCACCTGCAATTAGTAACCCAAATTATTAGTTAAAAAACTATTTAACTACTAGTTAACTAATTAATTGGAAAATTTTTTAAAATTTTATTATAAAATATATAAAAAAAAAACTAAAAATCTGAAATTTAATTTAATAATTTACTATGATTGTTTTTAGGTTTTCACCTTTATACACTTATTTGAAAAATTTTGACCAATTTGGAACACTATCTGCAACTCAGATTATTTTAGTATTAACTATATTTCCCTATATAATAGAATCAAAATTCTCACTTTGATATCTTGGATCAAAAATGTATGCAACAATAACTGTTAGATTATATAAAAAATTAACCCATCTATATCAGGCTGCTTGTAAAGTATTATCATGCAATTCTTCAGAAATTTCTAAATTATTTATAATTATATTTTTTAAGTTTTGTAAAGTTTTATAAGCTAAAGAAAAATATAATTTATTACCTTCTAATTTATGTATAAAAATAATAAATAGTTCTAAAAAATCATGTAATTTTTTAAAATCTATCCAAAATTTATGATTCAAAATTGTTGCTTTAATAGTATCATTTATTTCAATACTATCTTCAGCTAATACAGCATATATTGCAGACTGAGCTCATAAAATGTGATCAAGATATTTAAAAGATAACATCCATTTTGTATCAACAGTTAAAGTAAATGTGATTTCAAGATTATATATTTCTTTTTGCAAATAATAAAGAATAACTAATGGAATTAAATAATTACAAAAAAATAAAACTAGATTTTTGGTTTTTTTTAAAATTTGTATAACTTATTCATTTTTAAGAATATCTTTAACCTAAAGATTAATTCTGTATACTTAGCATCCAAGAAAACTATATCAGGATATTTGACTTCTAAAATATTCTATGCAGCTTTCATATTGTTGACGTTGTCTGTAATAATACTAACAAATTTATTAATTCTAATTTCTTCTATTATATCTTCAATTTCTTTAGTGATATTTTAACCATATGACATTCTTCATTAGTATGAACTGATTTGTAAAAAATAGGAGCAAGTGTAGTAATTATATAGTTAATTACTGATGATTTATTAATATTTAACTAACTGTTACTAACTAAGCAATAATATGATAATTTATTAAGAAGATTTTGAACAACTACTTGTAGATCAGCAGATTCCTTATTAAGAAGTGAGCTGAAAAAAGTATTACATAATAGAACCTTAAATGAAGGACAAGTCTTTTTAAGAAAAATATGAAAATTTTCATTTTCAATTACATTAAATGAAATTCTAGATGTAAAAAAAATATAAGCAAGTAATGATTATAATTCAGTTTAATCTGGTTAAGCAAAATTATTCAAAACTGATTGTTTTTACTTTTTATTAGTATCAGGTAATTTAAATAATTTAGATGATTTGTTTAATATTGGATTTCTTAAAACACAAACTTTTAAATGTTCTTGCAATCAAGTTGCATTTTTTGCTTATTCTTTATTACATGCTTTACACTAATAATGTTTTTTTCCTTTTTCATCAATTCACTTAAAATATTGATCTCACATTTCAATTTTTTTATTTTAAACCATTATTAATTTATTATAAAACAATATATTTCATGCTTATTTATAAATAGCTTTTAATGAATTAAATAAATGATTATTACATAGCTCTTTATTTAGTATCTGGCATAACAAATATTTTTAGAATACTATTTATACTTTATATAATATTTAATATATATGATTTTTAATTTTGGCATAAAAATTGTTTCATAACATACTGAATGTAAAGACTGGAATTATGTTAAGAAATTACATAATTTCAAAATTACAAATTATATGAAAATTAGCTTACTGAAAACTTATGCAAAATTACATAAAATTATGTAAAATTATGGTAATTTGACATCTCTGTCTGCATGTTTAACCAGATTATGAATGATGAATTCTATTAATCAGGTAATGCAGATCCAGTTTTCTTTTAGGCTAATCTGAACCAATTTTAACCACTCTAAAAAGTTTCAAGACCAATCAAATCTCAAGCATCAAGTGTAATATAACACTATCAGAAAAATTCAAAACAAACATTCACTTTGTCAAAAAACACTTATAACCCAAAATTTCATCTATAAACTGTTTTCTGCATATTAATTAAAAGTTTTCCTTGCAAAATTTTGTTATAATAAATGATTTTAGTCACTAATATAATGGAAAAATCCTAATCCTAACCTAAAAAAAATGAAATTTTACTTGAAACTTTTTTTGGTAGTGATTCTACTCTTGTCACAGATTTCTGATTGGTAATTCAAACCTGGATAATAAAGCTGGTCAGAATTATGAAAATTGCACTGTGCAGCCTCAAAAAATGACTATGCAGTGTTCTATTTCTAATTATAACCAGTTCCAATCAACTCACAAACAATCAGTTCACTAACAATTATTATTATTCAGTGACAAGTTCATTTTACTGACAGTTTATTTCACCAAAGCTTATTTTACAGGCAAAGTAGTTTTAGTCATTGTCATTAGGGCAGATTAGAATTAAAGTTAGTGCAATTTATAAAAAAAAACTTGTTGGTGAAATGTAATATCTATAAAGTGATTGTCAGTAAAATAATACGAATCTGATTTTAGTTGGTTAGTTATTATATGACCTAAATATTGAATTTACATGTATAATTAATCAATCATAAAAAAAGTTATCTCTGTTCGATGTATTGCTAATTTATAAAAGTTGGTTCAACAAACCAAATTAGAAAAATTATAATAGTTTGAACTATTATATAAAAGCAATACTATTTATAAATATCATTTAAATTGCTAAAATATTATGATATAAATTTGCTTTACATAATGGCATATCTTTTAGATACTAAGCAAAAGTTGTTAAATTGACTTTTTTAATTCTAATACTATCTGACTCTCATATTAAATCTTAGTTCTCTAAACAAATTTACAATAGCCGATGATGATCACCTTTATATAAATTCTTTAATGTTAAATAAATTAAAATTTACAATTATTTTTTTATATTGATAATTAAGCTCTGAATAATCATGTTGCAAATGTTGCTAGAGGATCTGAACTTTTGATTAGAAAAATTACAACAATAATACAAATAATTATAATAGTACCAAGTATAAGTATGGTAACAATTGCTTCTTTGGCCACTAAGAATTTGAAGTACAAGTATCTGTTAAGGATTTGAATAACCTTCTTTAGAAAAAGCAAAATTATTGACTGAAGCATCTGTCACAAGATTTACAGTGTCCGTCCATCTACAATAAGTCATGTTATATACTAACATTATGTCAGATGCATCAGATTTATTAGGAAAACTGGAATTTTGATAAATAATACCTGTCAATTCAGTATCATGTAAATAACTAGTATAAGATATGAATATCAAGTAGAACAAAACTTCATTTACTAATACTACATCTGATCCATGAGGTTGGACTCTGCTACATGAAGTCGAGCTTGAGTAGAATTATTAATTGTTATGTAGGACCTTTCAAATTTTTGTTGAACAATATTAAGAGGAATAATACTCATCTGTCTATTCTCAAGAAAATCATTAAAGCTAAGCATAATAATAAATATAAAATCACTAACAATGTCTATTACTAAATGAGTAAAAGCAAAAGGAAATTGATAGTCTAGTATAAGAATTTGAGATCCTGTAACATTATAAATATATAATAAATCCATTAGTACCCCTTCCTCTAGAGTTGAAGTTAGAGTGCCTGAACTAAGTTTTTTTATGCCACTGAAGATGAACACTCTTTTTCTTGAATGAGCAATTCTAACAGAATTTAAGACAGTCATCATCTATATAGAGTAATCAATTTATTATATTTGTTTAATGGTTAATAATTATAGTTAATATAATACTTACATTATAAGAGACCAGTTCCTATTTTTATAGCATTACTTTCATATTCAACCTATAAATAATACAGCTAGTAGAATTATAACATCTTTCACCTTAGATAAGTACAATTCCTAGTTCGATCAAAATGGATCGAGGTTGGAAAATTCTGATACCGATTTCCTTAGAATATTCAATTAAAATTTCATATTTGTTCTAATCATTTCAAACATTTGAGTTAAAATTGTAAACTTAAAATTCTTTATAATTTCGAATTGCCACCATGAATCTATCAATTACTAATAGTAACCCCATTGAAGGTTCTACAATACATAACATATTACAAACATTAATCATATTGGTAGTATCAAGGGCTATCCATGGTATTGAAGAAGTTACAAATGGCATTTAGTTGCATAAAAAATGAACCTATTGCCCATGTATTCCATTTAATATAACTACCAAATAAATAGACAGAATCATTATATATAACAAGGCAGTAACATTCTTTTGCTCCTGAACTATCACTGATTACTTGATTCACAAATCCAAGAATCAAGAAAATTATTAGTGAATAAGAATTTAGAAAAATCATTATAAAACTTTTAAGTTGATAAATATAAATTATAAAAAAACTTGGAACAAGGCAATTAGTATGAAATAAGTTCTGAAAACTATTAATATACAATAAAATAGTATACATACAATATTAATATTCAACGGCACCACACTCTCCCCTGCAGATCCCTCGACCAAAATTATTGAGAAGCAAAATGAGAAAAATATCGCAAAACACACTAAAAAGCAATACTAGAACCCTTAGTAGAAAAGAAAGAGCAACAAAATTTACATCTAGCTAAGAGAACAAAATACAAATAG